CGTGCGCGGCTCTCGCGCAGCAGCGACGCCTCGGTGTCAGGGAGGTCGCGGCGCGCGCTCACCCGGCCGGGCTAACGTCACTTTCCGCCGCCCGGCGGTGGCGCGTCTATCATGTGATCGGGAGAACGGCGCATGCTCAGTAACATCTGGTGACTCCGGTGCCCTTACGCGGGGGCGACGGTCTGTGCTGGATGCGCCCTGGGACGGGAGGGGCCGAGGAACAAAATCTAGGATGGGGGCGGGGCTATCAGAAAGGGGTGGAGAGAGAGGGATGGGCCGGGTACTGGGGCAGGCGGCGAAGAGCTGTTACGCCCAGGCAACAAATGGACGCCAGGCTGGGGACAGTCAGCGGGTGAGAGTGCCCTTACGCGGGGGCGACGGTCTGTGCTGGATGCGCCCTGGGACGGGAGGGGCCGAGGAACAAAATCTAGGATGGGGGCGGGGCTATCAGAAAGGGGTGGAGAGAGAGGGATGGGCCGGGTACTGGGGCAGGCGGCGAAGAGCTGTTACGCCCAGGCAACAAATGGACGCCAGGCTGGGGACAGTCAGCGGGTGAGATGAGAGGCTGCAAATGAGGGTTCCCAAGGGGGATGTAAAAATTTGTGTACAAAAGCAAACCGGGTAACTGCTAAAAAATCCCAGCGTGGGCCCTGCAAAAGCTTATTTTAACTTTAAACGGCAGAGCCCGCCCTGAAGCCTCCTCCCTGGGAGCAGGGCAGGTAGGGCTCTGGGCAGGGGTGGCCTGTCCATATAGGCGAACTAGGCGGTTGCCTAGGGCTCCAAGTTAAATGGGGGCGCCGAATGGTGGCACAATCTCATTGAGGGGTTTGGAGGCAGGGGCACCGATTGCATGGTTCGCCTAGGGCGCCAGTTGCTGGCAGTTAGTCTAGGGCTGCCCCTGGCTCTGGAGAGCCAGCAGCTGAGGGGCAGGATCAACCCCTAAGGGGCTGGAGCAGCTGCTACCTGCACTGGGCTGCCCAGGGCAGGCAGGGAGCTGCTCCAGCCCCTACTGGTTAATCAGAACCTGTAAACATTACCCATTTAGGGTGATGGTTATCAGTTAACTTTTCACATTTCTAGGCTCAATAGGAGCAGAAAGTCCACAACAGCGCCCAGTGCTCCTTAAAGGCACCTAGGGAATCAGTGGACACCTCCCAGGGGCCCAGTGTTCAGAGGCCTGATTGGCTAATCCCTGAGTCTGGCTTCCTCCTTCTGATGTGATGAATGGCCCTCAGGATGATATTGATAAGGGGGGGAATCTCATAACCCTGTGGGGCCATGGGTGAGGTTTGCTAGGATCAGAAGGTACAGGGAAAAGTACAACCACACCCTAAGAAGATTTTGGAGAAACTGAAAAAGGAGCTGCAACAACATAAGAACGGGCCCTACTGGATCAGACCAAAAGTCCATCTAGCCCAGTACCCTGTCTTCTAAGAGTGGCCCGTGCCAGATGCCCCAGAGGGCATGAACAGAAACAGGAAATTGTCTCCTGTCATCCATTTCCAGCCCCTGACAAACAGAGGCTAGAGACACCATTCCTATCCATTTTGGCAAATAAGTATCGATGGACCTAATCTTCATGAATTTATCTAGTTCTTTCTTGAACCCTGTTGAAGTCTTGGTCTTTACAACCTCTTCTGGCAAGGAGTTCCACAGGTTGATTGTGTGCTTCGTGAAGAAAACTTTTGTTTGTTTTAAACATGCTACCTATTAACCCTCTTAATAGGGACCTATCATCCTACAGGGCCCACTCAAAAGAAGCAGGAGGTAAGACTGCTCTCACCTCCTTTGACACCCCCCTACCCCCACAGAGTATGTGCTGTGACTGGAAGCTGTTGGCTTCTAATCAAGGTTTGAAATCTAGAAGCCTCTGCTGATTGGCTGAGCAATTAGGTAGTCCAGGGCTTTATAAGCAGTGAGTCAGCGACCAGGGAGTTTGTGATCAGGTGATTACTAACAGGGAGTTTTGAGATGAAGTTGAGAAGGGGATAAGGTATATTTGCCATTCTTTTTAATCCTTTCTCTAGGAAAGCAGGTGTGGATAATGATAGGTCTGCTGTTGTTACACTAACAGGGAGTTTTGAGATGAAGTTGAGAAGGGGATAAGGTATATTTGCCATTCTTTTTAATCCTTTCTCTAGGAAAGCAGGTGTGGATATGAAGTTGGGAAGGGGATAAGGTATATTTGCCATTCTTTTTAATCCTTTCTCTAGGAAAGCAGGTGTGGATAATGATAGGTCTGCTGTTGTTACCTTCACAGCTTGTGCCATGTTTGTCTTCCTCCTGGAAGAAAGAAGGGATTTCATCTGCACTAAGTGCAAGCTGATCACCATTTTGAAAGAAAAAATTAGAGGACTGGAGGCCCAGGTGTCAACCCTATGCTCAATCAGAGAGGATGAAGACTTCCTTGATAGAAGGCAGCGTTTAGTCCTGCAAACATGGCAGGCGGAAGAGCCAGAGAGGGCAGTACAGGACCAGGAAGAGAACTGGCAGCATGTAACTTCTAGAAGGGGAAAAAGGCCAGCACAGGAACCACCCAGTGCTATAGAGGTTTGGGAGGGACCTCTCAAGGAAGAAATTAGAAGGGAACACCATCTACTGGATGGCATAGGATGAGTAGTCCTAGAAATGGGGGTTCCATGACCACCACCCCCAAAAGAAAAAGACAGGTGATGGTGGTCAGGGATTTCCTCCTAGAGGGACTGAGTCATCCATCTGCCGTTCAGACCTGGAATCTCGAGAGGTGTGCTGCTTATCTCTTGAGATGGGAGCTCGAATTCAGGATGTGACTGAGAGTCTTACAAAACTGACCAAACCTTCAGCTCTCTACCCCTTCCTGCTTTTCCATGTGGGAACTAACAATACGGCCAAGAATGACCTTGAGCGGGTTACTGCGGATTATGTAGTGCTGGGAAGAAGGATCAAAGAATTCGAAATGCAAGTGGTGTTCTTGTCCATCCTACCTGTTGAAAGGAAAAGTCTGGGTTGAGATCGTCGAATTGAGGAACTAAATGCATGGTTGCACAGGTGGTGTTGGAGAGAGGGCTTTGGCTTTTTCGACCATGGGACTCTGTTCTGGGCACAAGGATTGTTAGGAAGAGATGGGATCCACCTCTCTAAGAGAAGAAGGAGTATCTTTGCAAGCAGGCTTGCAAACCTTGTGAGGAGGGCTTTAAACTAGGTTCGTAGAGGGGTGGTGACTAAAGCCCTGAGGTGAGTGGGAAAGTTGGATACCGGGAAGGAATGCAAAGACAAACGAGCAACAAAGGAGGACCACAGATTCGAATGAATAATGTAGGGCAAACAGCTGGTTATCTAATGTGTTTGTACACGAATGCAAGAAGCCTGGGTAACAAACAGGAAAAATTGGAGGCCCTGACCCAGTCCAAGAACTATGATTTGATCGGGATAACAGATTTGGTGGGATGACCCACAAGACTGGAGCGCTGTCATGGAAGGGTATAAACTGTTCAGGAAGAACAGGCGGGGGAGAAAAGGAGGAGGAGTTGCACTGTATGTAAGAGAGCACTATGATTGTTCAGAACTCCAGTAAATAGAGGGAGAAAAGCCTGTTGAGAGTCTGTGGGTTAACTTTAGAGGTGCAAACAACAGCAGTGATTTTTTGTGGTTGGTGTCTGCTACAGGCCACCGGATCAGGTGGATGAGGTAGATGAGGCTTTCTTCAGACAACTGACAAAGCTTCCAGATCGCAAGCCCTGGTTCTCATGGGGGACTTCACCCTGACATCTGTTGGGAGACTAATACAGCAGTACACAGATAATTCAGGAAGTTTTTGGAAAATGTTGGGGATAACTTCTTGGTACAAGTGCTGAAGGATCCAACCAGGGGACTGGCTGCTGTTCCTACTTACATGCTCCTACCTTCCTTCCAGGACACATCACACAATCCGTTTTCTACAGCCAACCTCTAAGATACACCCACATCTCCTGCAACCCCTCAGATAGAGATAAATACCTACAAGATCTTTATCAAGAATTCTGAAAACTAAAACACCCACTTGGGAAATGAAGAAATAGATTGACAAAGCCAGATGAGTACCCAAAAGTCACTTACTACAGGACAGGCCCAACAAAGAAAATAACAGAACACCACTCACTATCACCTAGGACACGTCTACATAGAAGGGCTAAACTCAAAATAAGCTACGCAACTTATGCTACGTTAATTGCATAGCTTAAGTCGAAATAGCTTATTTACACTTTTAGCACTTTCTGCACAGCAGTTATTTCAAAATAGAGCACTCTTCCCCTGACTTCCCTTACTACTCATACAATGAAGGTTACTGGTGTTGCACTGAGGGATGCTTAAGCCTAAATTTGCAATCTGATTATTACTAATTAATTAATTAAACCTCAGTGGAAGTCGCAGATACCACCAAACCTCATCTATCATAGGTGTTTGTTGATTAACATGCCGCAGAGAAATAAAAACGTTACGCAGTTTAAAAGAGCCAAACCATATATTGTAAATTTAAAAGGTACAACAAGGAAATATAAATCGCCGCTTCATTTTACTGTGTCGGGTAGCCTAATCTACATGCCTCTGGCGACAGAGGCATGTAGTCTAGACGTACCCTTAATGTCCCCAACCCAAGAAGAAATAAGAGGATAGAAAAGTACCCCACAGACACAAGGTATGACAC